AAACCTATGTCTGTGTGCTTCTCTTCTCAGATAGGTTTACAAGTTTATTTTGATGCAATGGTAGTCACATTAACATAAACCTCATTATAACAGTCTATATTGTAGTAGAACCTCCATCAGAGGACACTCCCAATAGAGGACACCTCTCTACAAAGACCATTTTTCATTTACAAAATTACCATTTTTACTATTTAACAACTCTCCGGTAAGAGGACACTTCTCTCTAAAGGACACTTTGGCTCTGCAATTAGGTGTCATTTACAGGGAGGTTCTACTGTATATGCAATTTGTTTGTAACATCTCAATTCTTTTGTCACCATTGTTGATAAGGCACAATTTGGATTATAGATTATAAACACAAGGTAATAAGACCCAAATCCAAATAAATAAATAGTGTGTAACACAAATAAAACACTTTATTTATTTGGATTTGGTCTTATTACCTTGTGTTTGTCACCATTGTTGTAAGTCTTAATTGTTTTAACTGTGGTTATAAAAACTGTGTGTTGAGATAACAACATAAAACCCCTGGTCCCAAGTGAAGGTATAACTGTAATGAGGTTTTTATAATCTACGGTTCACAAACAGCTACAGCATATGATAAGGCACACAATTTGGATTATAGATTAGAAACACAAGGTTAATAACATCAAATAAATAGTGTATGACATTTTGGTAACAATGTTGTTACCATCATCAGACAAAAGTACTGAATCAATGATGATGATGCCATTGTTAATGAAACATCATACACTTATTTATTTGGATTTTAACTACAGCATAGTTGTTGTGGCACAATGGTTATTACATTAAGAGATTTCAAATCCTAGCAAGCTTTTTTTTTAAATAGTTGTAGAATCATCTCCCTAAAAACCTATTTGTGTGACCTAATGATTGTTTCTGGGTAGTAATCTTGCCAAAGCAGGTGCCATAGTGGTCCTGTACACTTCTTGGGAATGTATTCTCCAACTGGGAATCTCTGTGGGAGCAGTGACATCTCAGTCTCTCTCTCTCTCTCTAGATAATTCCTTATCTCCGGGTATTTGTGGCCGGGAATTGCATCAGCCAGCTCAAGTTAATTGTGGCATCTAGCTGAGTGTCAGGAATCCTCTTGAAAACATACATTTTGGTTTCTCTTTAGATTTAAGAGAATACAAGGTAATAAGACCAAATCCAAATAAATAAATATTACCTTGTGTTTATAATATATAATCCAAATTGTGCCTTATCATGGTTTAAGAGAATTAAAAGGTAACCAGAGACCAAATAAGTACAGTAGAACCTCTGAGTAAAGGACAATACCTAATTGCACAGAGCCAGTGTCCTTTAGGGGGAGGTGTCCTTTTACCCGGATAGTTGCTATTTTTTTAATGTTAAAACTAAAAAAGATGTTTATGAGAACATAATGTATTGATTTATTTATTATTATAATGTGTATTGTATCTTTGTGTTTAACACTTAGTAAACTGGTTATGGTAAACTAGTTAAATGTCATTAAATTTATCAATAGGTTAATAAGAAGACCCAAATTTTATTATTTACTAGCGGACGTACCCGGCTTCGCCCGGGTTTTACCCGAGTAAAAGTTTGTCTAACGAATCTCTCGATAAAGTGAACATTTTTTTCCCGGTCCCTTGAAAAATACTCGATAAGTTGAATAAAATCAATATTAATTGGTTCCCTCGGTAATTGGAAGTAAAAGGAATAGTATCTTGCCTTGAAATTGTATCATTATTCTTGTATGGATGTACCCGGCTTCGCCTGGGTTTTACCCGAGTAAAGGTTTGTTTAACGAATCTCTCGATAAAGTAACATTTTTTCCCGGTCCCTTGAAAAATACTCGATAAGTTGAATAAAATCAATATTAATTGGTTCCCTCGGTAATTGGAAGTTAAAGGAATAGTATCTTGCCTTGGAATTGTATCATTATTCTTGTATGGATGTACCCGGCTTCGCCCGGGTTTTACCCGAGTAAAGGTTTGTTTAACGAATCTCTCGATAAAGTGAACATTTTTTCCCGGTCCCTTGAAAAATACTCGATAAGTTGAATAAAATCAATATTAATTGGTTCCCTCGGTAATTGGAAGTTAAAGGAATAGTATCTTGCCTTTGAATTGTATCATTATTCTTGTCTATATATATAAAAATGAATGTATGTGTGTCTGTTTGTTTGTTTGTCCTTTATGCCTGACCAAACCACTCATAGGATCGCCATGAAACTTTGGGAAGTTATTTAGTATAGTACTGGGAAGGTTTCTAGCAAATAAAATTTTTGAAATAACTTTTCGCCTAGAAATAATCAAGATAAATATTCTAATTTATCTGTTATAATTCAACAATCTGCTCTAAATATTATCATGATGATACGATGATTTTGTAATGTAGAAAATTAGGAATTGTATCATCATGATAATATTTAGAGCAGATTGTTGAATTATAACAGATAAATTAGAATATTTATCTTGATTATTTCTAGGCGAAAAGTTATTTCAAAAATTTTATTTGCTAGAAACCTTCCAGTACTATACTAAATAACTTCCCAAAGTTTCATGGCGATCCAATGAGTGTTTGGTCAGGCATAAAGGACAAACAAACAAACAGACACACATACATTCATTTTTATATATATAGATATACAGAAATTTCTTACTGAAATGTCACAAACACTCTTGTATTTATTTATTTATTCATTAGGAATTGGTCTTGTATAGTTCCCAACAATATGATAAGGCACAATTAGGATTATAGATTATAAACACAAGGTAATAAGACCTAATCCAAATAAATAAATAAATAGTGTGTAACGTTTCGGTAACAGTGTTGTTATTTATTTATTTGGATTTGGTCTTATTACCTTGTGTTCCCAACAATATGTTTGAGACAATGTTCTGTAAAGGCAGGGGGCTAACTTGGATTTGGTTATGGTAGTTTATTACAGAGTTGAGTACTCTGAATTGTTCCAGGTAAACACTGTTAGAGCAGCAAGTGTTCATTCTAACTTCTCTATGGAAATATAGACATTCTATTTTAACACTCAAAATTGGAAAGGCATCAGTAGTGAAACTTTTCAATAGTTTGCAGTGCAAGGTCTGTAGAAATACACTCATGGACAAAACTTGAATGAAGAAATTGCAAAGTCTTTCATTTCAACCCTCGTCTATTTTTTTTTTTTTTTAAGGAGACGGAGGCAATTTTGTTCACACTTGGTTATCTTGTGTCTTCAATAAAGGTCCCTGTGTATATCAAATATCTTTCAGCCAGAATCCCGATATACATGCTAAAAGGTACAACTTCCTTAAGTTTTGTCCATTATCATAGGTTTAATTATAAATAACAGTAACATTGTGAAAAATTTGTATCAATATTTAAGCTCTATAGAGCTCTAAGATAATGAAATGTATTGTTAGGACAGACAGAAGTTTTTCTATACTCCAGCACTTCTGGCACTATTATAGAATTGTGCACTATATTGGTTATCTCCCAGGCAGACTGTGTGAATGTTGTTTACTATGACAGTAGTTGTAGCAAGTTACACTCCTCATCAGGGATCCTAAGGGACAATAAAATCCGAAGCTAGCATAAAACAACCACAGCTACCCAACAATCTCCCTATCCTATGTATAAAATTTGGTTCAAGATCCTTCGTTGTTTATCTCCTCTCTCCACAAAAACTGGATAGATATTTCATCGCCTCTTCTTTTTTTCCTTTCTTTCTTTCACGATAAAATTTCTCTCTATCTGTCTTTAAAGAATGTGCTCTCAAAGTAAGATAAAAGAGTTAAAATAGACATAGAGAATTTCTTAAAAAAAAAAAAAATGCAAAGCTTTTGTTCATTTTTCAAATTTTGCATAGTTTTCCCTTTTAGAGAAAGAGAAATAACTGACAAATAAACCATTTTGCTATCATTTTTTAGTAAATTTAATCATTTCTAGGGAATATATAATTAGGAAAAAATTAAGTATAGTAGAACCTCCCTGTAAAGGATACCTAATTACAGAGCCAAAGTGTCCTTTAGGGAGAGGTGTCCTCTTATCGGAGAGTTGCTAAATAGTAAAAAAGGTAATTTTGATAATGGAAACTGTCCTTTGTAGAGAGGTGTCCTCTTACTGGAGAGTTGCCAAATAGTAAAAATGGTAATTTTGATAATGAAAACTGTCCTTTGTAGAGAGGTGTCCTCTTACCGGAGAGTTGTTAAATAGTAAAAAAAGGTAATTTTGATAATGAAAACTGTCCTTTGTAGAGAGGTGTCCTCTTACTGGAGAGTTGCTAATTAGTAAAACTGGTAATTTTGGTGATGAAAATTGTCCTGTGTAGAGAGGTGTCCTCTTACCGGAGAGTTGCTAAATAGTAAAAAAAGGTAATTTTGATAATGAAAACTGTCCTTTGTAGAGAGGTGTCCTCTCATGGAGGTTCTCCTGTATATAGATATAAATATTAGTTGTTCTAAAAGAATACTTTCAACAAGACCCAATGAGTCTGCCAAGTTTTGGAAGCAGAATTCTCACAGTAATAAACCAGAGTAAATGATTTGGTTCACTTTGAGGATCATCAGGACCATCCACCTGGAAGAATGAAGTGGGAGGAAGGATTGGTTGAGATTTAGTGATCTCAAAGAATGGATTAAGAGATGAATTGTCAAGAAGAAGGTGAGAGAAATGGTAGGCCCTGTATAGCTGTACACTACATTCGATGGTATTTATTTGCATTTTTTATTCTTGATTTGGAAATCCAATCTTCTATCTAAGAATTGCTAGATCCCTGGAAAACATCCTCATCAAACAGGAGAAAACTATTGATACATTCAACCATGAAGGTTTATATTCCCTACAAGATTGATAAATCACAATTTGGATTATAGATTATAATAAAAGAAAATAAGACCTAATCCAAATAGTTTATTAGTGTGTATTGTTTCGGCAACAGCATTGTCACCATCATCAGACAAAAGAATAAATGAGAAAAAATATCACAGAAAGTTCTTAAATAGTACTGTTATCAAGCCCAGATAGCTCAGTCGGTAGAGCGTTAGGCTTTTGACCTAACAGTTCAGGGTTCCCGCCCCTGTCCGGGCGTCTTTTTTGATAACAATACTATTTAAGAACTTGCTGTGATATTTTTTCTAATTTATTCTTTTGTCTGATGATGGTGACAATGCTGTTGCCGAAACATCACACACTATTAAATTATTTGGATCAGGTCTTATTTTCTTGTATCCCTACAAAATTCTTGTGTTTGAATCATTTATAAATTCAACATACAGTATATCCCTCTAATCCAGTTTTTGCCCTACAAAAACTACCAAGTCCAAGTTTTCCCATTTGAGAAATTTCTTTATTCAATCCCAGTTCCAGGTCAATATGAGAACACTTGTCAACCTTGTTGTAAGGTTTCGAATCTCTGTTTCCTTGAAGTCCATACTGGAGGGATTTGCACATATTCACTAAATTATTACAGTTAACTACAAGAAAATAAGACCAAATTAAATTAATAGTGTGTGACGTTTCGATAACAGCGTTGTTACCATCATCAGACAAAATCAGACACTATTAATTTATTTGGATTAGTTCTTATTTTCTGGTAGTTATAATCCAAAAATTGTGTGCTTTATCATTATTACAGATAAGTGAGCTCTTGAATTATTGTCCAACCTCTTCAACACCTCAAGGGATAGGTTAAATTAGTTTCTTTTTCCACCAATTCTAGTCCATTCAATCCACCCCCTTGATGGGGATTTTACCAAACTGATCGAATTTTAAGAGGTTTTGCTGTGCAATTTGGGTTTCGTACAAAAGGTAGTCTTCAATCTCCAAACTGTATAGAAAAGAAAGGTCACCTCTCCTCTCAAAATACGTAGATACAAACTGTGCCATCTATCACCCACTGTCTTTGCAACCAACCACAATCAGGTCGGTGACAACACCACCAGCTTTCACAAATTTCACATGCTCACTATAGTTTCAGGCTGATGGCTTTTTCATCAGTCTAGGGTGGGCTTCTATTTATGAGATCCTCATGGGATTCTTGGAATCTTTAGAACCTTTGCTAAAAAGTCCCCGACCCAGTTCTGCTAGTTTGTAAAGTTAGTTGATAGTGTTTGTGTCTGTTTTGACAGGGGAGGAGGTGATCTTTCTTCTTATATAGCTCAATATCCTCCTGGCAAAATGTCTTCCCAATTGTACCCCTCCTTTATTTACACACTATAATCATTATATATGGAAATCCACACGTGTGTTGGCAGACCTAGGGGGCGAGGTGGTGACCATGTGATCCAAAATGCCAGTTCAGTCCCCCCAGTGGTCAGAATTCCTCTCCTGCCCCATCTGCTACAATGAGTTTGAAGGGACGGTGCGGTGTCCCATCAGTCTGGGCTGCGGCCACACCCTGTGCCGCCACTGCCTGGCCAAGCTGCAGCGTAAGCAGTGCCCCTTCGACCAGACGGCCATCAGCACAGACATCAGCCAGCTCCCCGTCAACTCCGCCCTGCTCCAGCTGGTCTCCTCCCCCAGCCCCTCCCCCTCAGACAAGGCCTACCCAGATTCTGTGCCCAAGGACCAGATCCAGCATTACCTCGCCGCCAAGAAATGTATAGAAGAACTGGCCCTCTACTTGAAAACTTCCTCCTCCCCAGGTCAGTCTGTTTACTTTTCCCTAGCACAAATGTTTGCTGCTGCCTTTACCTTCATTCAACACACATTGAAATACAGTAAAACCCTGCTAAAACAAACCTGCAATATAACAAACCTTCCCTTATAACGAACCTGATATAATCCCTATTTTAAAATTTTATAATACAGTGAACTATGACTATAACAAACCATGGCTCTACACAGGTTCAGTCCCATTGTTATTCTCTATAGAGGGGTTTTACTGTAAAATAGGTAATAAGAACAAATATCTAAATAAATAAATAATATATAGCGTAAAACCCTGCTAAAACAAACCTGGGAATATAGTGAACATTCCCTTATAACGAACCTGAAAAAAAAAAACCATTTTAAAATTTTAAATACAGTGAAACAAGGCAATAATGAACCATGGCTATAATAAACCACAGGTTCTGTCCCATTTGGGGTTCTCTATAGAGGGGTTTTACTTTATTTATATATTTAATGTTATTACCTTTTATTTCTAATCTACAAACCAAATTGTACTAAACACATTGAAATCTGATGTGAGATACAATTTAGATCATTGAATCACAAGGTAACAAGACCAAATAATTATAGGGTAGGTTTCAGTAGCAGAGTTGTTACCATCTCCAGACACAAATATTGAATGAGGCAAATATCATGGTAGTTTTTAACATTCTCATTAAGTACTTTTATTTGAAGATGATAATAATGCTGTTACACTGAAATGTGACTTATAATTTATTTGGATTTTAACGAGTTTTGGAGTTAACGACTGCTTTTACTGCAAGTGCACCACATGTCTACACACACAGAGCTTTTGCACTTACAAATGTGCCAGATCCTCATTCAGTTACTTGCTCTCACTGATGGGATTTAACTTTTGCACTTCAAATGTGCCAGATTCTCATTCAGTTACTTGCCCTCACTGATGGGATTTAACTTTTGCACTTCAAATGTGCCAGATTCTCATTCGGTTACTTGCCCTCACTGATGGGATTTAACTTTTGCACTTACAAATGTGCCAGATCCTCATTCAGTTACTTGAACTCACTGATGGGATTTAACTTTTGCACTTCAAATGTGCCAGATCCTCATTCAGTTACTTGAACTCACTGATGGGATTTAACTTTTGCACTTACAAATGTGCCAGATCTTCATTCAGTTACTTGCCCTCACTGATGGGATTTAACTTTTGCACTTACAAATGTGCCAGATCCTCATTCAGTTACTTGCCCTCACTGATGGGATTTGGCTTTTGCACTTACAAATGTGCCAGATCTTCATTCAGTTACTTGCACTTACTGATGGGATTTAACTTTTGCACTTACAAATGTGCCAGATCTTCATTCAGTTACTTGAACTCACTGATGGGATTTAACTTTTGCACTTACAAATGTGCCAGATCTTCATTCAGTTACTTGAACTCACTGATGGGATTTAACTTTTGCACTTACAAATGTGCCAGATCTTCATTCAGTTACTTGAACTCACTGATGGGATTTAACTTTTGCACTTACAAATGTGCCAGATCTTCATTCAGTTACTTGAACTCACTGATGGGATTTAACTTTTGCACTTCAAATGTGCCAGATTCTCATTCGTTTACTTGCCCTCACTGATGGGATTTAACTTTTGCACTTCAAATGTGCCAGATCTTCATTCAGTTACTTGAACTCACTGATGGGATTTAACTTTTGCACTTACAAATGTGCCAGATCTTCATTCAGTTACTTGAACTCACTGATGGGATTTAACTTTTGCACTTACAAATGTGCCAGATCTTCATTCAGTTACTTGAACTCACTGATGGGATTTAACTTTTGCACTTCAAATGTGCCAGATTCTCATTCGTTTACTTGCCCTCACTGATGGGATTTAACTTTTGCACTTACAAATGTGCCAGATCTTCATTCAGTTACTTGAACTCACTGATGGAATTTAACTTTTGCACTTACAAATGTGCCAGATCTTCATTCAGTTACTTGCCCTCACTGATGGGATTTAACTTTTGCACTTACAAATGTGCCAGATTCTCATTCAGTTACTTGCCCTCACTGATGGGATTTAACTTTTGCACTTACAAATGTGCCAGATTCTCATTCAGTTACTTGCCCTCACTGATGGGATTTAACTTTTGCACTTACAAATGTGCCAGATTCTCATTCAGTTACTTGCCCTCACTGATGGGATTTAACTTTTGCACTTACAAATGTGCCAGATTCTCATTCAGTTACTTGAACTCACTGATGGGATTTAACTTTTGCAAGAATCGGGGGACCATTGAATCAATTTTATTTTCTCAGAAAAAGTGGTCAATGCGTTATATTTGATCCAGGGTGGTGGCTGTTGTAAATTGATGGTACCAGGAATGAAATCACACATTTTTCCTCTTCAATAAACCTCCCACTATCCTTACTCACCCGCCGGGGTACATCCCCTGCATGGTCATCTGTCTTTTAGTTGATTCATTATTTCCATTTTTAAAGTAAATTATTGTCAAGAAGTCAATTTGTTTCAATTGTCACTATCCTTACTGCAGTGAAAAAAATATTGGGAGATAAGACTGGCTCATCAGTGGAGAACCCTCCCAGCTGTTTCACCAGTTCAATCAACCATACCACATTTTTAGAGCTGTACTATTGTATTAGTAGAGATTCTGTTTATATATCTGATGTTGTATCCAAGCAAAAACTATGGAGATAAACTTTAGGACACTAGAATTTCACGTTAATATTTCCATCAAACAATGCTCTTCCACAAACAATTCGATACAATGCCAGTTTGGCATAAATAAAACATATACACAATTTGATGTCTGCCCCCAATACTTTTTATTTCTTCTAAATCTATAGTTTTTTTTAATGGAAGTAATACAGGGAGACAATGAAAAAGGAAAGACACTATGACAATCAATTATTGCCCATCTCTGTAATCTATCACAAACTCCAGTCCACAACACTAAGTTTGGAAAGCTCACCTGGAGAGATGGTTAGACTTCTCATATATGTCACAACCATCATGACAACCATCATTGTAGAAGCCTGTTGATGGTGTCTGCTGGGGATGAGTAGAGCTCATCAATGGATGGTTTTCCACCATCATCATGACTGGGTGAAGTAGAATGCGTCTGTCTTTGTCATTAAGACTGGGAGCACTACTCAGTGGTAGGCTGACATAGCTCCAAAAGAAATGGCCGCCTCTGACATGAGGAACAGACGCCATGTGCAGCCGCTCCAAACATCCTCTGAGTACAAACGCTGCTCATCCTGTATCCTTGGATCAGGAACCCATACAGGGTACTATCAGCTGGGCCAGGTGAGCCCAGGTTTTTTAGTGAGCTTGTTACTGTTTCCCCACCTTTTTCATCCAGGCTTGGGACCGACAAAGGCAAAGTCACAAGTAATTCATGAAATCTTACAAATTTGCTGAAGTTTTGACTC